CACACCCATGGGCAAATGGGGGATGCTAAATTTTACTTTAGTTATGTTATAACATTCATTGGCAAACTTACTGTCAACAGATGCTGTGAATCCACTGTCTTCATCAGCATCAATAGCAACCACTGGTGAAGAACCTGGAACAGCCATTGGCTTAGATGAAGGCCCTAAAATGATCAAGGAGAAAAGCAACATTTATTGTACATGTTCATGTAAGAGTTGAGATGGGAATCACTAGATATCAAGTCTGAAATCTTGTCTGAGCATCTGAGATGAGCTTCAACAGCTGTTAAACATGTTTCCCTTGCCCCCTTCTCCACTATACAATAACTTCCACTGCTTCATTTAGCTTCAAATTCTAACAAAAAATAAGAAATGTGTGGTGGACAATCAGGGCTCGACACTAACTTTTCAACTTAATAGCCAAGAGGCTAGTGACTTCTTAGATGTTAGCCAGGACAATTTCTATTTGTTTACTAGCAAAACTGGCCGGTGAAATTGCAAACCACTCGCCAAAACTGAATTTCTACTTGTCTGTGGCTAGTTGGCTGCTGTTAGTGTCCAGCCCTAACCATACAGAGAAGTGATATTGACGCCTGAGGACAGAAAACATTTTTACTGTCTTCTAAAAAAGGTGATGTTTTCTCACCCCTATGGTTCTCACAGCTAAGTTTCCATTAACAGCTTTAATTACATTGCTCACCGCACCCATGGGCAAGATGAAGCGAATCCTGTGTTCTTATTGGCTACCTGAGCAAGCAAGATGGGCCTATCTTGCCCACTAGAGATTGCCTACATTGATTAGAACTATGTTTCATAACTCTTGGACAATTTCAGCAATGGAAATGCAAAATGCTGCAGAAGATAGTCAAAACAAAGAAAACAGAAACGACTCTCTTGAGTTTGTTGTGCCACAAACACAGTTGGCTTTCTTTCCCAGCTTTCAAAGTAAACAAGTCATTCTTAATTCTTAATAAAGCAAAATCTTTTCGCATCAATAAATAAATCCTTAACTAACCAAGCTTGTTCGTTCAGGATGGCTGGATATTAGCCTTGTTCTTTTTTTTTGCATTTTTATGGACCTTGACTTCATCTCAGTCCATAAAAATGCAAAAAAAAGATCTTGGCCAATATCCAGCCATCTTGACCGCACACTTGGTTAATAACACATTTACATAGATCCCTGTATTGTTATCAGCATTCACCCTTATCTGGGTCATTTTATGTCACAAGTGTATTTCTCAGCTTTTCACAATGCATATACATCTGTAATTTGATATGTTATAATTGAATCCTCCTGGATATGAAAACACTCACCAAGAACAGAATCTTCAAGTTTGGATAAACTGTTCTGTGATGACAACGATCCACAGCCTAGATCATGTCTGTTTGAACTGTCTCCGATTCCTGAGTCTACATGGCTGCTGCTGGTACTAAAATAATCACTTGAATCGCTAAAACAAAAGAAATCATGCCACAAAATTACACACAAGAAAGAGGTTTAAAGGCAGTACAACTTAAAAATAAAAAATTGAAAGAAATTTAATCATTTGGTCACAAGTTTGCATGAAGTTTCCTAATGTGTTAAATAAAGTGGAAAACCCATGATCAACCATACATGTACAAGTACGCACATGTTCATCAGATGTTTCCAACATGATTTTGGTCAAACTCCTCGTGAACCACATTTCTTTCACCTTTATAATGTTGTAATGCACTTGAAAAATCACTCAATAGAAGCAGTGATTTCCTTTTCAGGCAGTAATGTCATACATTACATTCATATGTCTTACAGATATTACCACTAAGAATCACTCAGTATTTGTGAAAATTCAACAAAAGGATTGCTTTACCTGTTTGAAAATTTATTTTACCTGTCATGCTCAAAATAAGGGAGAACATAGTCCAAGCATTATACTAACCATGATCAAAGTTGCAAATAAAAAAATTGTTTTTTTTTTTATAGAGGGGGTAAGTTTCTAATAATTTTTTTTTCTGAGTGTCAAAGGTGAACCACTCCCTTTAAATTGGTGCAAGTAAATGTTCACAGCTTGAAAATTTAACACTAAATATTTGTCAGAAAATCAACTTCAAAGGTTTTTATTTAGGTCTAGAACGTTTAAGAAATGAAAAAGAACAAAAAATAATGACTGTTTTTTATTGAAACACCTTTACTATGAAGTGATCTAGAGGCTGTAACTTCGATTTCAGGAAAGAAGACATGATCAAAGTAACTCCAATTTGAGGAAAGAACCCATGATCAAAGAAACTTCGATTTCAGGAAAGAACCCATGATCAAAGTAACTTCGATTTCAGGAAAGAACCCATGATCAAAGTAACTTCGATTTCAGGAAAGAACCCATGATCAAAGTAACTTCGATTTCAGGAAAGAACTCATGATCAAAGTAATTTTGATTTTAGAAAAGAACTCATGATCAAAGTACAGATGAGACCTACCCACAGCTGGGCAGAACAATTCTTGGTTGGACAGCAAACACATTTGTCAATAATAGCTGATGAGGAGTTCTGAAATAAACAAAACATGTCCCAGTTCATTTCTAAACTCTCCTACCTTAGATTTTTCCTTGCTGTTTTTTCAATCTAAACTACAATTTACTGCAAAGATTTTCTTTTGAATTATAACAGACTTACACCTACATATGAAGTAATTTTAATATCCTAATTTGTAGTCATTCATACCTCACATGCCAAAAGCTACAACTCGGTAACTTTGTAATTATAACCTGACAAATCCTATGTCTGTAGCTTGAATTTAGATTTTAAAGTGAAATAATGGTTAACATGTTCAAGGATGGAGTGGGTTTTTGAACATTTCAGTCATCTTGAGACAGTTTAATCTTTTTGCTAAATAAATTGACAATATTATGTGGCAGATTAAATGATTTCAAGTCACAATCTTGTGATTTATAACTTGTATGATTGATATCTTTCATTTGTCCTTAGAAAAAGGACAAAAAAAATCAAACTACTTGTAGATAAAATTAACTTGACCCGAAACCCATTCCAAACTAAAATACATAATCAAGAAATTTTTCAATTTTCCTTTACAAGATGCCCTCACTATTAAAAAAAAGAAAAAAAAAAGTATGTAACTCTTTCAGTTTAACATGTGACTTTTAGAATCATACCTGATTTCATGGACTTTGACTGTTTGGCCCTTGTATGTCATTGCTACTGAGCCAAAGATCATCTCCCCCAACATTTTGGAATCATGACTTTGTCTTGCATACTAAAATGAAAATTGCTCAAAAGTTACAAAAATAATGATGGATAATCCAGCCATAAATTATGACAACCACTTTATCAGTGCTTCATGTGGTAATCCGCACAATTTACTTCCTGCACTCTTCCTGTAGTATTTTCCTCTCGTTACCATTTAAAATCACTTGCAGTTCTTGAAAATTTAACGGGTGAAAGGATAGCTGTAACGGCTTCAACGCATCTTTTAACTGTTGTGCTTATAAAATAAGGGAGAGCACTGCTCCACATAAGCTGATCACAGCGCATGATACAACTGAGTAATCCTTAGCCAGTCACATGTAGACATGCATGCATGCATTCATACATCACACAAGCAATAATTATTCACATGCATCATTGACAAGCACAGGGCCAAGTTAACTGCACAGTGGTATTTTCCTGGACAGAGATGGAGTTGAGGTTCACAAGAATTCAAAACGAGAAGAAAGGTCATGACCAGACCATTTTTACTTCATCTTCAGTAATTAATACTATTCAGAGTAGCTAAGGTAACACCAGTTGTCATTACAATGCCTTAAATCCAACTTTTCAACAAAAAATCTTTCTTAGCTAAAGTACAGATAACTGGACATATGAAAAGACATGCAGGAGAAGAAATCAGACAGAAAGACTTCTGAACAACTCCCCTATATGATTGGCTTGGGTCATACGTCAGTGTCTGAGCAAATGTGCATCTACTCCACCTCTAACTTAAAAATAGTCAACTGATGACAAGTTTGGGATAATGTTGAGCTATGGGAGGGGTGGGTCTGTATATGCTCAGATGCTGTAATCAATAGACTAGCTGTATAGAATATATAGCTACCATGAAAATGTATAATGATGCTGTCCAACTATTCTTGAGCCACATGGCACTGAAGCTAACCTGTAATTTTGACTTCTGTGTGGGAGATCTGCTTCCTTTTTGCTCAAGCCTGGGACCTCCAGAGAGTCTCTTATCCGAATCAGAAATTCTATTCTGCCCTGCATCCTATTGACATAGATACACACACTTATGAAATACCTCACAACACTTACTGATTTGGATACAAGATTGATTAAGACAAAAAGACACAGGGCTTTCATTGATGTTTTCAGCAGGAGGGCAACTAGTTTTCACAGGTGACTGGTGGGCAAAACATTTTGAAATGAACTTCTTTCTAGGATAAACTTTCCTCTAGATGGTCAAGCCAGGTAGGCAAATCCATCCTTGCAGCTGGTGCATGACCCTTAATGAAACCCCAGCCAGAAAAAAAAAGCTTTCTCCAAAATTAATACAACAACAGCTGTAGTAGAGTGATCTAAAGAAAGAGAAATAATTATCATCAAAAGGATGATATGATAAAGTTTTTATCAAGCATCAAACTCTCATAGCTAAATCACTGTAGAGGTGTTGAAGAAAGTGAGAAGAATTGATCATGAGTTCTAGGGTGTCAAAGGGTCAAATATTGTGTCCTGAGCAAAGGGCAGAATAAAATGACCTCATGAGAGCTTGCCCTTGAAGCTTGGGGTCAAGAATCCAGCCTCTCATCCTAAGATCAAGAGTCCAGATCACTGACATTATCCAATTATCAATCTCACAAAAAACTTGCTGTCAATTATTCCAGCATCTTTAATTAAACACCCTGAGAACTGTCACCGCTAAGTTTCCAAAGAAACCAGCCAAAAAAACTACAGACTATAGACACTGAAGAACTGGCGTGCTATCCAAGGAATGTATAAATTATATGCAACTACATGTGACTATCTTAGACGAGGTTGAAATGGTAAATTGGCCACCGTAACGATTACAAAAGCTGACGTTTTGAGCGTTAGCCCTTCATCGGAGCGAAGGCCTTGTTGATATATCCAAATTATTTCGTTACTCCCACTGACGCAGCCCCAAACAGTTTCTTTCGAAACTATCAGCCTTATTTCATTTATCTTAAACGAAGTTTTATTATATATTTAAAAACTTATAGAATACCTGTTGACTGTCGCTCTTTGGAACAGCCTTAGAGTCAAACAGTAGGGTTTTTCCTTTCCGATCACATTCCTTGAACACCAGAATTCTTATCTCATCATGTTCCAGCTGCGGAAAGGGCCTTTACAAAGTAAAATGGATGGATGAGATATGAATTTCAATCTAACTAACTGCACATAACTATCAGGTTACTATCCATCCCATTATTTAGGTTCATTTTTTAATGGCATGCCTTGTAACGAGAAACTTCCCATGTAGACTATGAACATTCCTTGCTTTTTAGCAAAACCTCACAAGAGTAAGAAAAAAAAAAAAGAAGTGGAAAAAAGAATGATGATAGTGCCCTGCGCAGAACGCAGTAGTGCGCATGAAAAAAGGAAAATAGGGTCCTGAGACAGACTTCTACAAAATGCTGGGACTGATGGTAGTCTGCTTTCCAAGTTAATTGGCTTTCAAGTAAGCTGTAATCCACAGTTTGTTTCTTCAGATGTTAAGTACACCCTAAATTTTATTGCTTGAGTCAAGAGGGGTCTGAGAAAGACTGTTGTTTGTGAGGGACACTGATGTTGACAACCTGTACTGAAATCAACAACTCATTTAAGTGAAAAGGCATCCTTCAAATGATTTTTAAAACTCTGATTTGAGAAAATTGATACAATTTCCCACACAACTTCATTCCACATTTCTTAGTAAGTAGATCTGATTGAATAAATATTTCACATTTTCAAATAGTTAAATCCTTAACGCTTCTCTGTGCAAAAATGCTGCATGGCCGGTATGGCATGTATGTGATACTTATCAAGAGACAACAAAACACGATAGTTTTACAATATAGAAAAGTCAACAAGAACGACAGACAATGCTACGAAACAGAAAACGTCGTGTAATGCTTACCTGACAAAAAACTAATTATAGAAACATGGGCGACTACAAGTCAAAATTTAAGGGAATTAAACAGAATTCATTTTTATGGACACAACACGGCATTAGAAAGAGATTGGACCTTCGTCCGATGGTCCAACGATAGTATAATCATGTACTTAATGTAACTGATCGGCTATGGCCAGACAATGCGAAAGTTATGTAAAAAATCCTTGTCACGGTTCATTTGTAATAAATCGGAATGTTTTTAAGCTCCTGACATGCGTTATTTCTTTCTGCGGTTCAAAGCTATTTCCAATTTGTTTTAGTTCAGTTCCTCTTTTATAGAATGGTAAACAAAAATTTTCTCGTAAGAAACATAGGAAATTTTAGAATCACACGTCTTCAGGTTAACTCCATATTCACATACAGGTCATACTCGCAGACGGATAAAAGTGAGGAAGATTCACATGACGGCATATACAAGCTCGACATATTTTACCAACAAGTTGCTTTGTAATAATTTGCATATGATAACGATTTCCATTCATAACATAGTCTTCCAGAACAGTCTTGAACGCTCGCGACTATTTTTTTTTTTTTAATGTAGGATTTATCTTGCATTACAAAGGAAAGGAAGTTGTGTAATATTGCTGTGTTCACGCGTACTTGAAACTTTAACTGTGGCAGGGATCTTTGAACAGTATCCTTGCGTTAACGCGAATTCCAAGAAAAGTATTTCGTAGACGATATCATTGTACACTTGCATTACCTACTATTTGCATTCATGTTAATTTTTCGATCACGAACGCGAATTTCGGTAGGAAATTCTGCTCCATTCTGAGTAATAGTAAGCTTGTAACACTGCAGTTTTAGCTAGTAATTTAACTGAGGTCTGACGGACAAAAAACCTAGAAAATCGTATCATATTAGAATGGTTTAATTTACCTTTTGGTAGCAAGAATTTCGTCTGGTGTATCGCTGTGGAATTACAAAACAAAGTTAAGCGTCGTTATAACGATCTTCAAACGAGGAAACGAAATCTTCCAGACGAGAAACTTACAGTTCGCCATCACTGTGCTTTTTCCCAGGTTTTCGAGCACCAAACGAGAATATTTTCGACAACATTGGCAATGTTTTCGGATCTAAAAACCATTTCACACACAGCACGTACACATGCGAGAACAAGTAACGAGAGAGACGTGGGAAAAGGACGTCAAGGTCACATGATGCTACAAAACAGCTTTTGTAAGCACGTGATTGGCAAAAAATTCGCGGGAAAAAGTTTTTTGTCATTTGATTGGTTGCGAAATCTGATCAAGGAAGCAAAGAAACCCAGTGACAAGCGCGTGATTCAAGAGGTTTTCCTAAATTCATACCAAAATTGGGCATTTCGCGTTACAATCGATTTCAAACTTGGGCTTAAAACAAATTTTACGCAACGCTAATGATTGTACGATTCCTTATAATTTGTTCGTGGTTTTTTGAGCTGACGTGAAATTTACATTTCTCGAATAAAGAATTACGCATAACTAAAAAATCATGTGGCTTTCTTCCTGCTTTGTCACGATTTCGTCAATGACTTTTCAACCGCTCTTTTTGGACCTCTCGGCTCACGTGCTAAGCGCGAGAATTCGTTACGTTAGAACCAAAGAGGTCGAAACATTTAAATGGCACTGTGAAATTTTAACACAGTAGATGAAAATAAAACATGTTTCGATTTCTTAATACGATGCAAAAAATAATTGTGATAACTATAACGATAAAAAATATATATATATAACAATAATGTCTCCATCGAAATCTTGCAATAAGTCCTCTTGGAATGCGTGACAACTAATGGTCTTCCCCTTATTTACAACAAAGGTTACATATGCAAACCTGCGATTTTTTTTGGATTTGGAAAATCCCATGAGCTTCTCCTTTTCCTCTGAAGTTCACTTTGAACTTGAAGGGCCGTGATAAATAAACAAATCCACAGTCAAAATACGCCGAAAATATGAGCGCGCGCTTTGTTCTCTGATCCCTGCCACTACCACCCTTATCCTTCAGCTTTGATCCGTTGAATGAACTGTAAACTTCTTCTGCCAGCTGTTATGTTAATCTCGTAAGTCCCGAGACAAAAACATGAGCAAGACTGTCACGTTTGGTAACATGAGCAGAGCACCCTCTCCCCCAGTCACTCCTTCTTTTGCCGCTGGCATTCCTACCCGTGGTGCATGGTTTCCGGTTGGTAAGATGGACTCCGTTCGAGAGGTTCAAATTTACAGTGCCCGTCTCGAGCTCTCCTACTCAAGAAATGGAAACCAATTCAGTGAACTTCCGGGAAAACCTGCTAAAAAGGGGAAAGAGAGAGAGAGAGAGAGAGAGAGAAGATATTTACTCGACTATTGCTATCATCTCAGGCAGGCCAAAAAAAAGAAAAAAAATACTCATTAACAAGCGTGACCTTTTATATGGTATCAAATTTGTAGCATTTTTGATGTGGCGTTTATAAAATGTGGAGATCATTCGAGAGTGGCTTTCATTTCAAAATCATATTTTTTTAAATCACCGACAACAATTTCGAGAAATCGTATGTGGATATCAGAATGACACAGACACGCAAGTCTTGCTTTTTTAATGGTGCTGATCAACAAGTTTTGATATTCATTTTCCTATAATCCCATAATAAACGCCGCGTCTGTTCTCATCGGGTGTGGTGCCAGTGTCGTCTATAATTTGGCTCCCTTATTCAGCGTTTATTCGAAGAAGGCTTTTAATCGGAAAAGAGAAGCACTTACGAGGCGCTCCATACTAGAAAACTGGAACGAAATCCACAATAGTCTGCCACCTGGCTGGTGTGCATGTGCAGATTTAACCTATATTTTTTTTCCCGCCCCGCCAATTTTTTTAAGCAATTTGTTGTTTGATTACAATCTTGGGCTCTCTAGTGAACAGACACTTGCGTCGAAGGTCCTATGAACAGGTCCCGTTAGTTTTTGTACTACAAATAAGTGAAATTCATGTTAAGAAAATAAAAGTAAATAAATAAAAATTAAAAAAAAAAAAGTTGACAGATCTAAACACCATCAAAAGGAAGGGGCTAATATAATACGAGGCTCAATTGCGACTCAAAGACGAAAAGGAACGAGGTAAAGTTGTTCGATGAAATTTCAAAGAGATGTTAAAAATACTGAGAGCTGAGACAGGCTTGGCTTGTCAAGATCGTTAGAAGAAAGGCGGGGAACAAAAAATAACCACGTGAAAAGTGTACCAAACCATGCATACAGTATGAGCCGAACAGTTCTTAACTATTGGGTAACGAACTGGGTGAGGTATGCTAAGCAGCATGACTTAGAAATTTTTCTGAGAATTCCAGGAGAAAATCGTGTGACTTTATGTATTTTTAGAGCTTACTAGTCACTCGTGATTTTTTTGACATTTTTTAAATTGCTTTTCCTCACGCGCGTGAAATTCTAAGAAATCACTCAGAGCTCAGTTGAGACCATAAAGCAGAAATGGCCGGCCTGCGTTTGTGCGAATTTTTCTGCTGGATGATAAAAACATCCTAATCTTATGAACAAGCTAAGGAGATGGATATTTTATTTGATGACTGTTTGAGCTTCGTTTAGAAGAAGTAGGGTTTACTTTTTGGAGCAACCAATCACACAACAGGATTCAGATAACGTGACCGTCATGTATCAAACAAGGAACCGTCACTTTTGTGACGTCATGAGAACGGTGTAAAAGTGAGATTTTAGCTGAAACACTAAAGGTGACTTCCCAACTTAGCGGGTGCCCTCCGGGTAAAAAGTCGTACGCGTGCTAGTTTCAAGAAAACCCTAACAAAAAATACATCAAAAGAAAGCTTAATAAATGCATTTTACGATAAAAATATAAATTAGGCTATTTTTTCATTTAGGAAGTGTCAGGAGCCGGTGAGGCGTGAAACGACCGAGGGTCCTTCTATTGAATTTATCGGGTATCGGATCTCGCAGCACGAGCAATATGGTTGTACAGTCTTATTCACAAAGCATCAATCAACATAAGTGTGTCGGGCTTTTCCGATACTCTGAAGTCTTGATATATCCGCATCTAAGGTACAGTAGCGTAAAATATGTGAAACGTGTTGCGTAAATGGACACCACGTAAAAAATATTTCAAATATCAAAGTTTCCTGGCAGAGTTTTGTTCGTCATTATCCCTGGAATGTTTAGACGAAATTTCAAGAAAATCGGTCAAATCTACATACCCTGTACGCTCAAAGTGCATGTATTCCTCTCAAAATCAGATGCGAGATGTTAGCTCCTAAAGGTTTTCAAAAAGCTAGCGCCACACCAAGAGATTATCTATCTCGCCTCCTGAAACCGCGAACCAATGGGAAGACGGGAGCTCCTGACGTCAATGACGATGCATCAAGATTTTCCTGTGAAAAGTAGCGCATGGCACTCAGGGTTTTTTATCTCTCTCTTTTGAATGTTGAGTAATGGGCAAAATTGGCAAAGAAAAAACTCGCGGCATAAAAGGTATAGCTGGAGAAACTGCTGTAAAGCAAAACAGCGAATCGGCAGACAGCTTAACTAATACCTTTATCACTGAAATGAGTTCCATTCGGTAGGTTTATTCATGATTTCATGTGACTCGGCGCGATTGCCTCTGTTTTGTATCAAGGCTGGTACTTGCTTATTGAAAGGAAATTTCGTTTTTCACCTAATGTACGACATCTGTGTTCGTGATTTGGATGTCAGCGTGTAGAGGAGTGCCAGGATTGGTTTTTGTTCCTAACAAAATGGTGCTATTTCTCTCTTCTTTGAATTACCTGCTTTTTTTTCTTTTTCTTTTCCCAGGGACTCCTCTCTTATTTTCATTTGTGTTTTTTATCCACGAGAAAAGACTTTACACCAGCAGAGAACTTTCACGTGCGAATTTTATCAAGT